TCGCTCTCGGGTGACTTAGCTATGAATCAAAATGCAATTGGAGCAGAAGCCTCTAAAGGAGTCAAAAGTCATTATGTTACGTTTTTTAAATTTTTAAAGGAAAAGTATGCCAAGATGCAAGGGAGTGTGCTCTGCATACTTTAAAGGTTTTTGAGGAAGTGATCTCATCAGGAGAAGTGCGATACAAAGATTACGATCGTGTCTACTCGACCTAAAGTTTGTTGTTGTTGTTTTGGAATATCCAAAGCGAGCCAAATGGGGCAGCAGCGCTATCAAAGTATAGAAAAGGCTAAAGCTTATTGAGCAAGCTATTCAAGCTCAACCCTGAAAAAGAAAGCAATAATTCAATTTTTTGGCCTTGCTCTAAATTGCACTATGCATTAGCTGAAGCACGGCTACTACACGCAAGACTTTCAAAAGATGAATATTAAATATAATTAAATGACTTGAGCTATGAAATTGTTGTTCTTTTCGAACAAAACCAACAAAAAAATCAACACACAATCAGCACACATAACACAACCCATAAACTGACTTGAAGCTCAACACAATTTTCCATGAATAGACAAGGAATTTGAAATAGAGCGGCCCAGCACTTGCCCACGCATCTGCTTTTGTGCTCAGGCTTTTCTCACCAGCATCACATATGCTGCACTAAGAAAGCCGAAATGGCCAAGCGGAACTCTGCCAGCTCGGTGGAGGCAATTAGAAAGTCGAATCGAGGCAAAGCACTTTAGGAGGGAGTTGTGCAAAAGCCATGCAAGCGTGCAGAAAAGCAAAGCAATTATGAGAAGCTATGCGATATCCTATACTGGCTAGAACTTTTTTCGCTTTCTGTTGCAAATCTCATTAGGTAGGTGGGTTAGGAAAAAGCTATTTGCAATGCAGCAATTAGCTTGATAAGAGACGAGGTCTCTTATGAGTTAGAGAAACTCTTCTAGATTCTTCGGACAAGGTGAGTAGGACATTGGTGAAATTTTGTACTTAGCGAGTGTTTTGTCAGAGATTCTACATATATTAAAAATTGCAAGCAATGTTAGCAACATTCAGTTTCGTAGTTCAAGAAAATTCAACTCCACTAAATATGCGGAGCTGACTAGAACTTCTCGCACTATTCGAACTAAATATCACTAGATGAAGTTCGAATAAGATAGACAAACAAGCCAGTGTTATGCAAAACGAACACCAGCTCACGCTAGGATGCATCTACTGAATGGCTGACAGTGTTGCCCGCGCAATCGACGGTCTGATTCATTTTTATGTGAGGGTCGTTGAACTCATTGGTCCCGTTTCTAATACTTTTTCTAGTGAGGAATGCACAACACCAAAAGTGTTGAGTTTGGAGTACTTATCCCAGATGACTGAGACACAACACGGGGAATTTGATTGAGTATGCTTCATCCCCTTACTTTATATTAGGTTGGCACAAAAGTTATTTGTAACTGATTCGTGGGTTGCTGTTTTATCGAAGAAGGTTTGCGTTTCGTGATGGTGTCTTAGCTGCAAGTGATATTAACCATCCTTGGAAAAATCTCCGAAAGGCACCCAAAATTTCGTATTTCTGTAATTTTCTGCGTAATCTTGAAAATACTGGTGTCCGCCAGCAAACACCAAAGTAATCGTAAAAGTTCCTTACAAAGCATCAGTTCGTACTGTGCCAGGATTCAATTTTGCGGTAATATAAGCGAAAAATTCGTGAAACATCATTTCAGAACTCCTTATCGCTGCATTTTTTCTGTCAAAATAAACTTTGACACCCAGAACGTCAGAGTTTTTTTTAATGTAAGCGCTGGATCAAACTTCTGGCCCTTTGCTTGTCTCTGCGAAAATGCGGTAACAAGCAATTCTTCTATAAAATAACATTTCCCTTTTTAGTTCTTGATTTGCGAGGTTAGCACCTGCCATATTTGTGTGAGCAATGCTTTGTATGAATTCATATATCAGAATGATCCAAAAGTAATGGGGTACCATGATTTTTTGAATATTTTCGGAATTTGTCTTTTAATTGACTATAAACGACCAGCAATTCGAACGGTTTTGGATAAAGTGACCTCCGCTAAAGTGCTATATATGAAGCAATTCTTGGGCTACAAAGCATGTTTTGGCCCACAATCTTTTGAAAGTAGGAAAAGTCGAGTAAATGCATACATTTGGGTAAAGCGCAGAATGCTCTATCAGATACAATCCAAACGCGAAATCATTCAATTACCCCGATGAGAGGACTGAATAAATAATACTTCTTCTAATACTCAATCTTATATCTTCTATTGCAAAGCGTTGGGACTACCAGGCTATCGTGGATTTGGTGATAGTCTCCTAACCCATTGCAGCAGATATATTTTTGGCAGCCTCAAGTATTTTACGCGGTGCTGCTCAACGTATGAAATTACTCGAAGAGGCGAGCTGTATTTTAGGCTCTTATGAAAGTAACACAATGCCATGTATGGACCTCGATTAGAAGATTTTGACATGTACTAACAGCTGCCAAGACTTTGGCATCCAGCTGACTTTTCTATTTGAGAAAACTGCAATTATTTTCAAGGTGCCCCATTACTTAGAATCATCCCAATAGATTTCTGAGGTAGCTAGCGGCGCTTCGGCTTTTTTCATATCAAACTCAATCGCGACATTTGTAGTGTCGTCGAAATTTGTTCCCCAAGATGCTAACGAGAAGCGGCGCTTTGAATTCTATCGTAAAGCACACTCTCCCCCTAATCAAAAAAGCCAAAGTACAATTTATGTTGGAGTGGAAAAGTTGTTGACATTTCATATTATGGAAAAAAAGCACCTATATAAGTAACGTGTAGGGTTCTACCATAATGAATGGATATTGTTTGGGGCACCAAAATACTTTTGAAAAAATTTGAAATGTCTGCGACGAAATTTTGTCATTGGGGAGTAATCTGCGCATATCTGAAATTGTTCCACAGGGCCATGGATTGAATATCTGTGGATTTCCTCTTGTCATCAGAGACTCATCTGAGGTAAGCTGGAACTCCTCAATTGGTGCTTCAAAACAGATGCCCTAACCATAATTTCTTTACCTTGCATATCAAAGCGATTCCGTTGTGATTGATCAGGAGAGCAGTGAACGCATTGAAACCCATGCCCAAGTAACCAAAAGAGGAAATCTTTCTTAACAAGTCTCATGGACTAAGTAACTACAAAAATAGCGAACAAAAATAGAAAAAAAGACTTGGCAATCGGAAAGATTGTCTTATAACGAATGCTCGCCTAATAGTGATCTTTTGAAGCTGGACCGCTTTGCAGAATGTTCTAGAAATAACAAGCTACTCATGTCTTAACCTGTGAAGTCTGCTAAACATGTACATAGTACCTGTCAGGAACTTATCAAAAACGGAGTTGACGCGATCACACTTGTCAATAATCGATTCCTGAATCCTGTGCCTACATTTTTGAAGTGCTTCGAGCTATAGTTCTCCTGTGCAACTCAGAATCTATCTTATAGAATTCTTTGCGTTCAATTGATCGATCCTTCTATTCCGATGCTCAAGTGAAGAGTCTTGAGGTGTTTTAACATTGTTGTTTTGTTCTAGAAATCAATTATAGAGCTTATTTTTAGTGCCCAAGTGATTGTTACACTTAGCCGCTTTTGAGAAATGAACAACATGTGGAACACGAACCATATGGCTGACAAGAATCTCCTGCTACTTATCAAAGGTCGGTCTGAAAGTGTATATAGCCTAGGGGCTAAACAGAATGAAATTTTATGGACTTACTGTGAATTGTAAGATGCAAAAGTCCTGCACCAATCGCTAAAGTCGTGGGCATACTTCACGCGACTTCAGGCGCGAAGCGATTTGGCATTAATTCAATTGTTCATAACTTATCGTAAGGGCTTTCTAATTGTACGGAAGGCAGGAGATTTTATCAACCTACGAAAGTTATACATGCTGCTCATTTGACTGCCAGTATTGAATTTGAAGACATCTGGCAAATTACCCTATCGCGTGGCGATTGAAATCGCGTGAGGTGTGCCCACGGCCTAACACTTGTCAAAATGACAGCCGTCATGGTGAAGATTTCAGTAGAATTGCCATCTTACCTAGAAGCAGGGTTTGTTGAAAAAGTTACATCAGAAAAAATAAACGCTTGAATGAAATACAATGTCAACTTTCAAGACCTGGTAATTTTACATAGGAGAGAAAGTATTTGGCGAAAATTCTTGCGAGCTGGAATGAAAGTTACTTAATCTTCGCCCATACATATTGAAATACAGTTGCGAAAATGGCCGCTTTGATTCAGAGGAGCCTCGGCTCACAATAACAAAGCGGATAGTCTTGAGAGCTTGCTGAGACAATGATTGGTCTAGCTTCCAGAAACAGTGGTTGCTCAGAAAACAATGCGGACAACCTGGTTTATCCATCTTGGGTTTATTTACCTTCGTAGGGGTTCCAGAGCTAATTTTTATGTCCCACTGAAATATTGGGTAATAAAGGCAGGTGATGGTTTTTTTCGTTGATCGCATTTTGGTTTATAATAAGGCGTAAGATTTTATTAGGAAAGCTGCCAGTTGAGGAGTCTGTAGGCTCTAAGCTACAATTCGTTACTCATCCTTTTATCTTCTTCAGTGATAAATGCGGTAAAAGGACCTTATGTCCCTTATAGGCCGGGTATATGCGCGATTTCAGTAGCTACGCATTTGGCAAGGCTCCAGTTACAACTCATGGTAAATGTACTTAAGTTATGCGAATTATGAGGCATTTTAGATTAGCAGAATTTGTACACAATGCGCCATACCCGCCAGGGCTGGATTTGAAGACATCTAGCAAAATGCCAAATCGCGCGGTGACTGAAATTGCGTGGGGCATTCCCTAATTTCGTTCTGTTACTCTTTACTCTCTCGCTTCAATTTTTGAATTGTATGGAAGATTCTTGATTATAAAAGAGGAGCCTTACCTGCGTGTAAGTGAAAGACTGTTTCTTTCTTTCTCAAAAGTATTTTTTGTTTAAAAAAATCTACAAAAATCTACATTAAACCTCTTTATTCAAAGAAGAATCTTGTGTCACGAAAGCCAAGTTGAAGCATCAGATCAGTACTAGAAGGCACAATAAATATGTGGAGCGAGCTCAGTACCTTGACAGAGGAAGAAGTAGAAAGAAAATTCTTGCAGTAACTAAAGATACAAACATATCAATCAAATGAGGTGTTTTCTGCAACAGAAACAACATTTGATAAAAAGAAAAAATGAAAACTCTGCTTCAAGTAAACATAGTTCACCGTCGAAAATTGAACAACTACCTGCTGATTTTGAGTACAAAGCCTAATAAATTGTACTCTTTGTTTTAGCTCTAAGTTTACTTGTTCAGGCAGAAGAAGAAAACTTGAGACATTTACACAACACTTGACTTTTACCCGTGGAGGCAAATACATTGGCAAACATATAAAAGGCAAGATAAAACGTTTGCAAAAGAAAGAAAAATCTGTATCAACAATAAGTATATACGATTACAATTTGTCCTAGGATAATTGACTCGTCACTAGAGCTTTTTCGGAGATTCATCATCATCGTTGCGAGCTCTTTTCGCCGACATTTCGACATCGGCTCCTAAGAAAAGTGAAAATGGTCCCTATTAAAAGTTATGAAAGCTGGACACACCCTTCCGATGCCTTAACCCGTTCTCAATTCCCATAGCGGCTTTCTTCTTCCTCTGTTCACTCAGTGGAGGAGGAGCTGGTAATCGGCATGAGCCATCAATTGGCACTAGCTGCAAAATTTGATACATCATTCTACTGTTTTTTGATGAAGAAATTTTTTTTATCACACCTCTGGCTCCGGTCCAATAAGTGTTAACATCACTGGTAACAGGCAAAGACCGTTGAATACCGCCAAAAGCACTAACATCGTCATCACAACGAAGAAGTATTTGATGACAAAGTCGAACTCGGAGAATATCAACATGACGATTCCTGCAGAGAGATATTGAAGGATACTGTAAGCGTTTTAAGAAAAATTAAACGAACCGAGTAAGGTGGATATGGCACCATGGAACACGGGCACAAACATATGCTGCAAACATGACTCAAGACGATCGTCGATAGAACCCAGAGAGGTTAGGAAGGCTAGCACGACATGGGCAGTGAATTCGACACCTGTAAAAAATTACAGTTATGATTGTTTTCGAGGCATGGAATGCTTCTGACAAAACTGAATTGCAAGCATCGAGTCTTTTGGAACTGAAAAAATCGCACTCCCTCGAACTTTTGCCCAACACCGTAACTTTTGTCTGCATCGAGTACGGTACTGGGCGAGAGTTTAGAGTTGCGTTTTTCGGCCACGAGTGATTTGTGTGAATCGCTTGGGTAGAATGGCTTACTAAAGGCCATTTGAAGTCCAAATGAAACGTTTACGTAGGCCTTTGACTATCGCGTAACTAACCGATTCCGACAGCACAGATGAGAGTGACGGCAGAGATCGGATTCATCTTCACACCTAATATACCCATGAAACCTCCAAGCTCAATGGTAACAATCACGACGATAACCATCACCTACAAAACATGGTTGAGCAGATGATTCATAAGGAGGGCCTTGGAATCTAAAGTCTATTTACCATAGCAGCTGCCCATGGATTGAACATCATTATGGAAATGACAGCGAACACAGCAAATGCGATGATACAGATGGCACAGAACAGATTCCATCTAGAAGTCAAAATGTTTTTTTTTTTCGCAAATTTATCTTGGTGGTGTAAAGCTTACCTCAAAGAGAGGTATTGCTCCCAGAAGGTGAAGGCAATTCCTGATGGGAAATTTGAAAGTCCGTTTGCGGTATACCTCTCGCAAACTTCGCGCACTTCCTGAAAAGGAAAGACGTACTTGAAGGCAGAAAATTCTATCAAGAAGTGACCAAAAATACCTCAATCATATCAACAATCACTGGTGTATCCGTAAGATTAGTCTGATAGAAAGGAATTTGACTGTAGAGCAGTGGCTGAGCTGGTGGGACAACTTTGTCTTCCTAAATAAGATAGAGTTCTTGCTATCTTCATAGGCAGACGAATTTGGGTAACTGGACTCCTAGATAATGTCTAAAAGGCCTCAGCTGAAACTGTCGAAGTCACAGCTTTTCCAAATTCGCATATAAAACATGTTAATTGGTCCGTTTGAAGAATACGGTACTGGGCGACAGCTTGGAAATGAATATCTCGGCAATGAAAAAGCCATATAAATTAGCTCTCGGGCAGTTCAGCTACCCAATCAATTTCCACGAAGGAAGTCCAGGTCCCAGATCTGCCTCATAGAATTCGATTCTTACCGGTCCCATTTGCCAGGAAGGTGGAGTTGGGAAGAAAGATGCTTGAGAGACGTAATACATCATGTTGTCCACGTTGTACCAACCCGTCAAGTAGTTATAGAAACCCTCCGGCCGAATGGTTCCGTTTTCAACCAGTTTTATATGGCCTATCTAAAATGCACAAACGATGTGCGGAATTCTAATAATCATAAGCTGAACATACCCTTCCAGTACAGTTGAATTTATGGCCATACGAACAAACCAGTTTACGGGCGATAAGTGCTTCGGGAGCCGGCTTGTCCTTCAACGAAAAAAATGCATAGCTGGATTTTGCCACAACCGCCAAAACTCCATACCTTTCCCTTGACTGGCCTTCCAGTTACCGGATCCATGTTCCCGGCCCTGAGCTCTTTTTCAAGTGCCACATCCAAAGTTTCCAACCAGGTTCGGACCATTGACATCCAGTATGGTTGAAGATTGCCATTAGCTTTTACGACGTATTTGGTATCACCTGTGAATGAGCTGCTTGTGCTGGTTGAGTGGATGATTAGAGGAAAAAGAAGTGTGTATTTCCACCTAGTGCTTTCCTATATTCTTCAATCTGGGCTTGTTGATTCGGAATGTCAATAGAGCCACCGCGGAGCACAGCATACATAGGATAAAAGGAGAAATACTTTTCACGAGCTCTGGAAAAGATAAACGCTTGGAAAATTGAAAGGCTGTCGATTATGAAGAACAGCCTTACCTCATGAAGGCGGCTGGTGCTGTATTCTCTGGCAAGACATCAGCTAACTCGAGACCCAGTTTGGAACTATGCATACCGTACAAACCAAATATTACTCCACAGATGGTAATCAACACGACAACGATCTAAATTACGGTATGCTCAAATGGGTCATGGCTGGAAGTTAGCCTAAGTTTACCTACCTTTACAAACTTCTGTTTCAAAGCAGGAATGTAATAATTGGTAAGGAATCCTCCTACAGTATACCAAGGCTGATCTCTGGTATACTCGATAAATGCGGGATTTGTCAGGTCGGCCTTAGAAGATTCCTATATGAATATAGGAAATAGGTGGATTATTTCTATGTAACACCATGACTAAGAAATGTATGAAGGTGCTTACAGTGCATGGTAGACCATTTGAGGATTTTTCTTCCTTTTCGCTCTCTCCCGGTCCACAATAGACGAGATCTCGTCTTCCGGCTCGAACACGACGTAGATCTAATCCGATAAATGCAGGGAATATGAACATCAGAGAAATGAGGTTGAAAAGGAGGAGAACAGCGGTCTGCAAAAAAAATCGTGTGGTTTCTGGGGTTAATGAGGCCCACAGACATTCCAGAAAAATTGGATTACTGGTTTTTTTACGTGTAAAATGATGAGGGGCTTTCACTAAGATGATGCAGAAAAAGGCAGCTCATAAGATTCATATCTCACTAATAAACTCAACCTCAATCACGCGCCCAGTACCGTAGCTTTTCCAGTTAGCGTGATCGGGTACGATAATGGGCGAGGATGCGGATGGGAGTTCTTTTGCTACATGGCGGAACATACAAGCTGCCTATTGAACTGAAGTGACAAAACAAACCTGAGAGCAGAAAGATCGCAATGCTGGGATTGGCAGAATGTATCCGGCGCAAAAAGCAAGGATATTGTTGATGGAAGTTACCATGACGGACATTCCTTAAAAAAAGTTGTTGATTCGAGAGTTACGGTGAGCAGGATCCTTACCGGTCTCTTTCAGCAGAATTCCCATTTCATTCTTTCTAGAGGTGTGAATAATCTCATCGTAGTTGTGCAGCAAAAGGAACATGTCATCAATTCCCAGACCGAGTGAAAGGAACGGAACAATCTAGAAGGTTGCAGTAGTCAACTCTTCAGGAAAATCCGATATGATCGAGCTTACTTGTGTGGTGGCGACATTGAAATGGATTCCCAATGCTGTAGTTACACCCAGTCCACAAATTGAAGAATATGTGACCAATAGTACACCAACAAATGAAAGAGCAACATTGGACTTTATAGCCAACCAACGTCCATCGATTCGAGCTTGGGTAAAGGCAGCGTAGATTATCTTAAGTAGAGGCATATTCACAGAATGAACTGAGATTTTCCCACAAGAACCTACCATAAGCACATATCCCATAACAATGATAAAGTAGTTGAATTGGGAGAACTCTTCGAGCATGTCAGCTATTGAAGTGGAGGCCAAAGGATGGAACACACGGTTTTCTTCCGGCTGAAAAGTAATTACTATTATAAGTAAATTTCGACAGTGAAACAAACTCACATTTTTGTTAGCTTCATGATCGTAGAGCTTCCTGGTGAAATTTCTTTGCCAAGTGTTGACGACGTCTTCTGCCCATCTGGGGTTCCAAGATGCTGTATCAAGGTTGGGATGAGTTTCTTTCTTGTCCTAAATACCAATTTCATACCGATAAACTCGCGATAAAATGAAAAAAGAAAGATGAAAACACATATGAGACCAACAATAAATAAGTCAGTCTGATGTTTTGTAGAACACAGATTTGATTTGACGAAAAGGAATAGAAAAAGGTTAGCCTCTTACCTTGAACCGAAGAAAAACGTCAAATGGGCCGGCTACAAGGAATACACTCTGAAGTGCTTCAGCTTTTTGCAACATGCCTTGCTCTCGTTTGATTCCTAAAATATTGCATTGAATCCAAAAACTTGCAAAAATTATGAAAATTGATGATTTGTTAATGACGGTGTTTAGGCAGATCTAAGTATCTGTACTTCTTGTGTGATACTGATTAGAAGGTCTCAGAAGTCATGGTCTAGAGGATTGCTCAAATGATTCATTACCAAAAGTTCAACTATTGGACCTCTCAGGTACTCGAAGACGCTGAATGGTCAAGCTCGGAAGAATACGGTACTAGACGAGAGTTAGAGTTGAATCACTGGAATACGAAAAAATATTGTGAGCGCTACTTAAGCAACGACTTAGTTAACATCTTCGTCGACCCTGGAGTCAGTCCACATAAGAAAAGAGATACTTAGATCTGCCTGAATTCCTATGGGAACTGAGCACAGACCTCCGATAATCAGATCTTCTGGCCATTCCATGATAGTCTTACCAAAGCCTTTGCATCCACCGGTCATCACCTAAATTGCTCAATTGAAAGTTTTTATGAATTAGAGGCACGATAAGTTCGGAGCTGGACATTTTTCGGAAAGACTATGACGCCGCACCTTCTTAAAATCTGGATTTTTTGGGAACTCCTTCTCGGTCAAAAACTCTCCCCAACGATCGGGGTTTTTGCGCATCCAATGCAGCAGTGACTCTCCGTACTCCAAACACATAGTCACCTTGGGATCCTTCTTATTTTTCGCGTCTAAAAAATGAGTATTCGGGTGGTATTACCTACAAATAGTAGTAACTTACGAGATACATTGACACTAGCCACATCATAATCTCCATCTTCATAAGCGTAGTAATCGTCATCTTTCTTTGTTGTTGTTTCGACATCACGCTTCTTACGACCTAAAGTATAGTGAAAATTTGTAGAATATCAAAATAGGTTGTGTTGGCGAAAGCTACCGAATAAATCGTTCAGAAGTGGCTCAAGCAGTGTCGTTGCAGGGTCTGCATTACTTTCTTTGGGTAGCTCTTTCTTCTCGAGTTGGATCTGAAATTTCCAGAAAAAATTTATGAATCAAGATTCGGAGGAGGAAAGAGTACATGTTCCTTGTAGAAAAAATTCACTGTGGTGACTTCTTGAATCTGAAGATTGTACTACATTTTCTGTGCTCCGACCCTTTTCTCCTCCTTCACAGCTTCCCCAAATTCTCCTTCGTTTTTTATCCTCTCTCCCCCCTCCCTCAGGTTCGCTGTTACAGAACAAGTAAAAATTTTGCAGTGCGTTTTAAAGAGGGTAATCGAAGAGATTTCTAACAACGCGGTTATGCGAGCTTTTGGGGTTTTTTTCCAAATTTTCTGAATCTAAGAATCTCCCTCCCATAATAAGTTAGATTAGAGCTTCATTTAGAAATGTTACCAACTTTTTCAGAATCGCTCTTGCCCATATTCCACAAGTTGAACTTCTCCAAGGCTGCGCATCTATCGAAATAGTTCGGCGATGACTCAGGGCATTCGGCATCCAAAGGATCGATGCAAGGACGATCGAGGTATGCGGCTCCAATTCCTGCCTAAACCGGGAATTTGCCAGGAAAAAGCGAAAATAGTAATGAGGGATGATCTCACTCTTTCGAAGAAGTTTCCTATAGGACCGAGATCGAACAGTGCTCCAACTTCGCTCATTACAGCGGTAGGATTAAGATTTTTCCATGTGACATTGCCTTTTGGAAGTGATGAGACAAAGGCACTCACTTCTTCCCTGGAAAAAAGTGCCATAATGGTTGTAGCACGCGAAAAGTTGGTAGGAAGCCAAATAAGTAGTCTATACAATTTGTGAAACTTCATACCTACCCAAGATTCAGTGGTGGATACGGTCCCAGCGGTTTTGCGCCCTCCCAATAGCAGTCGATGGGTGTGATCCAAATACAAGGGATGATCTTATCAAGCAGAGTATTCAACAACTAAACAGAAATTATTTTGTTATACTTCAAGAAACTGCAATATAATCGCGCTACCTTGGCTAGAGGACCGGAGTTGAAATTCGGGCCTGGCGGTTTGAAGCAAATGTCGCTGAGTGTCCATTTCCTAGAAAATCAATTCTAGACATTTCTAGCGTTGCAGTTTGTTCTTCATTCATCAATTTACAGAATTTATTCAATTTTCTAAACTATAGAAAAGTGTTTAGAACTCACTCTCCATGCACATCCACCTCATATCTTGAGATCTCTTCCATGAGCTTCACATGCCGTAAAAGTGACTCTTGTGAGAGAACATTTTCATTAGCATGTACAGGGGTTTGGATGACAACCTAAAGATCGGATATTATCAAGAATTAGATTGCTCCATGAAGAAAAACTAGATGGGCTCAAATTTTTTTTTCGAAAATTGTTGGCTACGCTTCGTTGCAAATTTTGGAAAAAAAATTGAGTAACTCGTAGCCTATTTTTACAAAACTAGGAGTTTTCTAAGGGGGAAAATTTTGCATTTCCGTGCTACGACTCCCCTCTCCCCTCCCCCAATTCCTGGAACCGCCTTAGATGGTTCTACAAATTTCATGATTTACCTGAAATCCTCCACCAAGTCCATTTTCTCGCGGTAACTCGGGCCCTCTTTTTATCCTCACATGTACTTCGTCCTCAATTGCTTCTCGTTTTGTTATCTAAATAGTTTATCATTACCGTTTCATTTAACTGGAGGTTTCAAATATTTGGGCTCAAAATTGTGGTAGTTTGAGTAGCTAAAATTCAAATTTTTACTGTGAAACTTAGTTGCCATTTCAATAACAAAATTCCCTTTAACTTCTAGTGTTTCCTTATCAAAAGTTAGTGTACTTACCCTTCTTGATCCTGCTTTTACATCGTTTAAGAAATTGATCTCTTCATTTAGGCGACCTCCTTCTGAAAAAAAAGCAGTTATCCCTCAACAACATATTATTTTTTGACAGTATAGTATAAAAATGTGCGTGGAAGGCTATTTGAAGTATTGCCCAGAAGATAGCTCATATGGTCCATTTTATGGGCGCTCGGTTCAAACTCTCGCCCAGTACCGTACTAGAGAGCGCTAATTGGTCCGTTTGGAAAGAGTAAGTGTGGGCGAGATTTTGAACTTACATCGGCCGCGAGTTGGCCATATGAGCTGCCGCTTGGGCAATGGCTTGTTAGGATTTTTCAATCATTTTCTACATGTGAAACCAAGATATATGCTTAAAAACTTTCTTAAATACTCTCTATGCGGTGAATCCAAGGTCTGAGGCAACTTACGTGACACCCATAGTTTGACAATATCCGTCTCAATGATAACATCTTTAAGACCAGCAACACAAGCTGTATAGATAAGTAACCTATAACAATAATTATTTTCGTATGAGTATCGAAATTACTTTTGACAAAAAAACTTACGATACAATAACAGTTGGCCATGCCCATCGTTGTACGAAACAACCAATTTTGAATAGGCACTGTTGAAAGAATGCTCTAGAATACAAGGCTATCCTGTTACCCCGGGCCACTCCCTGAAAAATTGTTTTTATATATCATTTTCCGATATCTCAACGTTAAAAAAATGGTTACCCTTCGAATTTGTTGTAAAGACATGTCGGCATCACACCATGTTGGTGCATGACTGAATTTTTGTTTCCATGCTTCCGTGAAATCAGCCGAATCTGATTTGCCAATTAATCGATTTTCGATGAACTGAAAAAAACAATTAACGGTTCTGTGATGTTATTGTTTTTAGGGACTGTACATCAACTAGGCACAATAAATCAGCTTTTTTTTTCTTCCATTTGTAATAAAATAATCAAAATGATCTTTTGAAGTTTTCTTCTTCGATAGATCAAAAATTCATTTCGCTCTCTTTTCCATAAATTCGCGGATGAAATACGGGCAGAAACATTTCTGTTAATGTACCGGAAACCTCCTATGACCCTGAGACGTTCATCTCTGGTTTATGAACAGCATTTCGCCAAGTGTTTACAGCCAATTCCATTATAAATGATGTTTGACGTTTCTACCTTTGTAATGTCGTGAATGAAAGTAATCAGGAGTTTCTATGAAAAACATCGCTGGTTAGGTGCCCCTTTTTGCTATTTACAAAAATTTACAGATAAATAGCAAGCAAAACTTTGTTGGAAATATAATCAGAACAGCAAGCAGATACGAGAAAACCAAAAACTACTCTGCTTTGCTCTTCTTCGCAGAATTTTCAATTTTGGTTTCGCTGCTAAATCCAGGACTGTACTTTAGGGCTCGAAAAAAGATGGTTTTTTCCTGAGCTTTCAGAATGATGAGGAGGCGGAGTGGCAGATCTGTCTAACTAACGCGTCATTGGTTGTGGGTACAATCAACCAATCAGCATGGCTGAAGACCTAAGTGATAAGAAAATGCTCTCAATTGCGAGGGTGCACCAACTCCCCCTCCCCCCCCCCCCCCCATTGATGTCCTCATACAGAAGTCACTTTTACATCTTACATTTTTGCAAAAAAATCTGATTTTTGCATTTTTTCTCGTCACAAAAATCATTTTACATTTTTTAATTTCTCCTCGTAAAAACTTCAACTTCTCATCAGCGTCAGAGAATAAGTATCAAAAATTTCCATATTTGCAGCAACTTACAAAAATTCATAATTTTTCTCGGTCCTAAGTTTCTTCAACGACCGTTTTTTTTAATATCATTTCAAATTTGAAACAAGGTAATTACTCTCTGCGACTCAAAAGATAATGTTATTTGCATTGTTAAGATGCTATATGGATGGGAGACTTGTTAACCCCGTCAAGATAGACTGATATAATTGGTCGTCACTTCACGGTAATATTTGGCTCCATAGGCAATAAGGGGTTTTCTTTTTAATTTCGATGAGAAATACAGTCAATTACGCTAATTAGGGCCCTTCGCACCAGTACGCCTCATCTTTGAGAACGCGGCTAGCTCCCTGACCTCTTCCACGATATCATCAAACACGATGCCGTGGGAAATCGTTAGACCAAAGATCACATACAAATCTAGGATTAGTACCGTTGGAATTCTTGAGAGTTTTCGTCGCACTTGTTCCACTTTTTCTGTAGGGCCGCAATCGAATTTGACTTTTCCAAGAAGGTACGTATCGCTATCAGACACCTCCATCTTACACTGGGACGGATCAAGCTGTAAAGGTCTGACACCTCGGCTGGTTGATGGCTTGCGATGCATCTAATCTTGGATTGCTACTTTACCTGATCCGAATAAGCAGAAGTAGTCAGAAATTATGATGAGATGCATGATATGAGAATATTTGACCCAAAAGAAAAAACTGGATATTTGATAGACATCAACTTTTCCACTAGTTCTCATGTAACTGGTCCAAAAAGATGGTCAATGGGCACTAGTTCGGTTCAGGTAAACAAGCAATTAGCGACCGGTATACCCGTATACAACACCTCAGGTGTGAAACGCATCAATTTTCTAGATATTATGACGGTAGAAAGTGGCAGGCAAAGATCAAGAGATAATTGTAATAGGGTGAGTTTGGTGAGCAAGAAGGAAAAAGGGGGAGTACGCGAGAAAAATGCAAAGCCCTGCAGAGGAAAAAAGAACAAATCTACAGCACGAAAAGAGGATCAACAGTGTGGAAAAATAGCAGCTCAAACAAGCATTTAGAAGTGATTTTGATCCAAAAATTGTGCAAACGATTTTGCCTCCATCGGATTATAAAAAATCCAGTTTTGTTGAATGAAAAATGTCAAATGTCCTTGCAACAATCCTTTATTGGGTAAAAAGCAAAGGAAAGGGGAAGGAGCAGAGAAGGAATTGAGTTGATGCTGGAATGAGAGGGATCAAAAAATGCTCAGTTTCTGCAACAGCTTCAACTATTTGCAGAAGTTGCCATAATGCTGACAAGAACTGCTGCTTTTGATTACGGTAGAGAAAGCCCCAAAAATCCCCGATATTATAATTTTGATGATATTATCCTCCATCTTATCTCTGATGGTAAGATTTTTACCTATGGCGAAGGAGCGGGCTAGGCCTAGTAGTCAGATTTTCGTGTCTTTTTTCAAAATTCGAAAGCTTGCATAGTTGGACATGTTCCGCTTCAGTAGTGAAAATGGTAGTTAGTAAGCTGTACTTATTTCCAATCCAGCGGATTTGCGTGCTAAATGCACATTGCCAAATTTGGTTACGAACGTAGCGAAACACAATGGTTTGAAAAAAAAAAATATAAAAACCGAAAATTGAAAAACTTCACAAATTAAAATCTACAGCAGGAACTGCGTAGTGCTAAAATATGGATCTATAGCAATAATGGAATACAGTTGATCATTGTGCAAACGCTTCGAAGAGCGGACTGCTTGCAATGAGGGCTGACGCGATGGATTTGGACAAAAAACTCGCAAAAAATAAAAATCGGCATCCAAAACAATGAGTTGAAAGGGCTCTTGTCATGAAGTGCTTTTGTATGAGTTTGTATAAGCATTCTGCGGCTAGTCTTGGCTATAGGCCAGGAAAGGGAAGTAAAGATTTCCTTCAAGAACTAAAAGCCAAAAATTCAAGAGATGCATGCAGGTTGAAAAAAAATGAGCGTGGGAAAATTCTTCATGGATAAACACTCCTGAAGGTAATGTAGGGTACAATAGAAGGTCAGGGGTGCACATGACCGCAGCCAGTTATGTAGAGTGTGGGGATATGACGAGCGAGGATCTGCCGTTGATTATTCCCCCTGATAACACATCAGCGCATGTGGGGGAGGGGAGGGGAAAAGAAAATTTGAGGGGCTAGTGGCACCTGCTACACTTTTTTGATCTAAGCTTTTGTGGACTAGGTATACTTGGTTGTTGAGGAAAGCAACTTTGCATTCTAATCATCAAAAAGCTCACTTTGAATAGAATAATGCACAACAAAAGGTAAGAAACATTACCATGAGTAACTTTTTTTAGAGAACCATTTATATACGCCCTTCTATTCCTTCTGTCCCTTTAACAGAATTTTTTGTTTTTTTTTCTATATTTATATTCTCCTTCGCATATTTCGTAGATTTTCGTGAGTTCATACTTCTACAAGATGACATGGTGCATCAAAAAGTACTATATAAAAATGTTGTCCAAGTCATTTAATTTTGCTCTACTTCCTCCAAAAATTTCAAAATTTGCGCCAAAATCAAACTCTCATGAAAATTGTGAAAGCACCTACCCGTCTGAACGGATTCATCGGCTCCTTGTCTGGCCCGGTGGTGTCAGAGTGAACCTTCATGGTTCCTGAAATATTGTAAATGTACTTGCTCACAATGGAAAGTAGTGAAAATGGAAAGAACGACAAAAATGCAAAGAGAACGTGAATCATTTCAATGTACAAATAGCGATGACTTGGCTGATAATCGTCATTAAATCAGCTGATTGCTCGGTAAGTGTGTGAATTCCAAATGCTGGGATAGAAATGGAGCCACGGATGAGCTCACAGACAACAATCCATTCTAACGGAGTAATTATAAGACAAATAAATTGATTCCCGTGGACCAGTCCGTGGAAGGATATGGTCCTCTAAAGAACGACAAAAATGCCGGTTCTTACAACATTTAGCGCTACTTGACCCAAATCTTTGAGCATTTCGTTGAATGCAATTATTAGCAGCGAACTTGTTCTCCAGAACTGGGTCTCGACCAAGTTTGCGCAATCTAATGGAAGGTAATTTGGAACAAAAACGGACTGACTGATTCAGTGCTGGATTAAGAGATGGATAGAAAAAGCGAAGAAGGCAGGATGAGTGGAGGATGGCTTATATTTCTTGGCTACCGTAGTTAGATTATGTGGTACCAATTCTAAGAAAAAAAAGAGAAATGGATAAGTATATGAAAAGAACAAGTGATATATGATGAAGAAAGATACGAAAAATTGAATTGAATTTTTTAATCAGTTGAATGCTACTGAAACGTATAGGATAATAAACTGATAATTGTTTCAAATGGATGAATGCAAGTGAATGAATGAATGAATGAACGAATGAATAAAAGAATGAATGAGCGAATGAACATGTTTGAGTAATGATTAGCAAATGAACAAATGAACATTTGATGCCGGAAACAAGAGAGTATGAAAGAGTGTAAAAAAATGTGATTTTGTGAGCTTGACGCTTTGAGGGGTATCGTTCAATTTTGGAGAGTGAATAACAGATAATTTTCACTATATATTTATAGAACTACTGTGATCACTGCACAGAAATACAACATAAAATTTCTTTGGTTTAAAAGGGTAGGTAGACAGCTTATCAATCAGGTAAAAGAATTTGCCACAACAGAATAAATATCCTTTGAAGAATCCCTCGCTCTTTTCTCCCAATGAAAATTTTCCTCTCATCTGGATCTTTTCGAATCGTTTTCTAAATGATTGAGACTTTTTTAGTAAGTTGCCTGATATCCACTGCTAGCTTGCACTCCAACAGAACGCGTATTTAATCCTTGTATGGGGGCGATCGGCAGCTAGCCGTCGCGACACTTAGCCACCGTACACAAAGGCTAGCAACCGGACAATAGTTGTGGAAGGCGCAAAAATCGGATAGGGTGAGCGAATATCGCACGGATAGAGGACGATTTGTAGCCCACAACCACGATAGGATGTGGATGATGTGGGTGCGATGCTGCACGGATTGTGAATGATCTATGGATGAAGGAGGGGGGGGGGGATGTCGAACACGAAATTGTGAGTTGCTTTGCCTGGTTTTATTCGAAAAGAGCAAATGTGAAGTTTTTGGTTAACCGTGGAGGCAGAAAAGCATAAGAATGTCATCGAGAAAGCATGACACGAAGATTATTTGTAGTCAGGAATAGAATTTGTTGAAGTAGAGTTTGCACCAAAAAAAACGAAAAAAATCAATTTTTATGACGTGCAGCGCAAAGAGTTTCGAAATCACCAAGAAATGAAAAAATCTAAATGTTTTGAGGAAAAACATGTGGAATATTCAGAACAAGTGAAGAAGCCAGAATTTTCCACATGTCCCTATCCCAATCTCACCGAAGTTTAACATTCTTTTTGGGAACACGCGATTACGAAGAAATTGAAATTCAGCGATGTTCGTTCCCAGTTATAAAATCATGCGTAGTGGTCACGCAGACAAGTAAAATTATTCTAAAATTATTCTTCGTCATTTTGGCATGTAGATGTGAATCCGCTGCATTCCTGAATTATTTTGCATCAATTCCACTTCACATCAGAGACGAATTCACAAAACAGTTCTACAAAAAGTTTGATCGCATGAATTTTTTTTCTCTTGCAGGAAAAAAATTTAGTTGTCTCTAAACGTCGCGAAGTCACATCTATTTCTAATCAAAACTGACCCACATCTCCCTTTTCGTAAAGGATTTTGCAGCCACTTGTTAGTTAAGAGGAATGCGCAGTTGCTTTGTGGTAAAGTTTACAGCATAGTTGGATGGTTTAGATGGAATCCACTTAGGGCCGCATGCACTAACCTCCCCGCGGGGAGGTTAGTGCATGCGGCCCTTAGTCTTGGGTTTCAAATTAGTTGAAGGGGGGAGGGAAAAAATTCGTACGAAGACAAGCCTTATAGTTGGACTTAAAGCATCAATGTTAAATGTAGCAGTCTGCTGATAAAAGATGCGAACGGAAAGAATTGGTCTATGAAACGATCATGTTTATCATGATCCTCGACTGATCACAGCAGAGTAAGCAAGTTATCAAATTGTCTTGATGCGAAATGTTGATGTCATATGAGGAGAAATCGGAGAAGAATGTCCAAGTGTAAATCATCAAAGATCAAATTTCAAGATCACAAAGGTGAAAATAGTAGAGATGAAGTTCGAAATTTTCCGTTGAAATTTGATGAAAGTCAAACCTCTCATACCACTTTGAGATTGCGAAGTAATGATTGAGAAACGTCAACTAATTACAGCCAGTACACTTGGCAAGAAGAAGACTCGTTTCATTGACAAAAAATCGGTAATTGATTTGGCCTCGACATCTCGAAAAGAATGTAAAGTGCTCTCGCACCACTAAAGTTGAAAGTGTCGACGCGTTTCTCTAAATGAAAAGGCGAGTCATTATTAGTACGAATGAACTTCGTGCTTTTGACGTTGTTTTTGAGGTGGGAAGTAAGTGCAAATGGAAGTCAAAGGGGAAGCGATAGCACGAGAAAAGGGGGAAAAGGATGGAGGCGGAGAGGGAGAGACTGTAGGATGTTTTTTTTTGAGTGACACTTACACAAAACCTATCGCAAATATAAAAGAAATTGTTGACAAAAAGCAGGAAGTAAACGAGGAGTTTGAGCTCAACTAGAAGGCAGGACCTAGATTTCTGCTAGGAAAACTGATTTTGGGAACTTAACCATTGCACAAAATGCAGCTCAATTGGCACATTCAAAGCCGAAATAATCGCGTTCAAACTGCTGCCCAGTACCGTAATCCCAGAACTATCAGCGTCCTTGGGTACGGTACTGGGCGAAATTCTGGAGATGAAGTCCTGTGCCGCTTGAGCGATGGCTTGACGAAAGCTCCTGATTAGAATCTACATAAAAGTTCAGACAGCCAGATTTGCCCGGGCATTGCCCTTAGGTAGCGGCACTGAATTGCAAAAGGCAAGCAACGATACCGTGACCACAATGATGAAGTGAACAGTCATACGGTATAGGCATGGACGATTACGATCGCACCAAAGCACGAAGTATGCGAAGTGCGCAATTAGGACTTCAAATAAAAATCGAAAATCATAAGACCTGGGATTTCTTTGGTGTCTCCGTAGTTGACTGCCGACTGCTGATGCAAGACTACAGTATGTACATAGAAAACGAGAAATCTCAATAAACATCGAAGATCGGAGGAGGAACACGAATCCGAAACCATGGCGAACAAGAGTTCTAAGGCTTCAATGCCACAAATCCATCCGCCCATCGTTTGTGCTTGAATCCTAACAGTGGCTAATGTGGGAAGGCGGACGGGCGGTAGTAGCAGTGAGGAGGGGAGGGGTTGGCGAAAACTGGAACTATGCGATGCGAAAACGGGACAAATTCGCAGAATAGCCGGCACACATTTGTGTCTAGGCTACATAATTGCATAGAAAAAGTGCTTAGCATGTATGGTGGTTGAGTGAAAAAATGCACGAAACGGGGATATAAAAAAGGGCTTTCAAGCGCGGTTCCGGGAATTTTTTGAGGGGAGGGAAGAGAAGCTTGAAAGCATGTGCGATGTATCATATCTTCTTTTCAACCTCCGAAATATGACGTCAATTTATTTCAACCGCCAGCAAAGCCCAAACAATCTCAAAAACTTGCTTGTGCAGCTTCTGCTTTTAGGGATATAAAAAACCGTAACCAGCTGCAATAAAACTTTTTTTGGGAATGTCTAAACCGTAAGCCCGATGAGAAATGCTTCGAAATGCGACATTTCCGAAACTGAAAACCGTCTTTTTAAATATTTCAATTAATCGTAAGAATTCGATTACTAGCCGTTGTAACCCTCTAAACAAGAAAGAATAACCCAAGAACAAGCTACCTAAATGGCAAATGAAGTCAAAACAATTTTTGTCTCAAGTTGAATAAAATTTTAAATTTGAGACTTTTTCAAATGCTTCACCAAGCATGAAAGTACGAAATGCAAGTAACGCTTTACTTGCTGTATTTCAGATAATTGTCCGCTCGATTCGGCAGTATAAAGGAAGTAAAAAAATGGTGGAAATATGTGTGCAGCTACAAAAAACAAAATTGGGAAAAAATGAAAAATTTGAGTCGATTGTGGGATACATGAAGAATTGAGGAAATCGCAAAACTATTTGCTGAGTGAATCTGCATTCTGAATCTGCTGAAACATGAATGAAAGAAAATTGTAGAGAAAAATTCTGAAGATATTTCGTTCAGTTCACTTAAGAGTAAAATTTTTCAAAAATTTCTCGTGTTTTCGCTGAAGTTGCTTTTATCTGATACTTTGGATACGAAAAAACGAAGATGAACTAGAGGCATTATATTACCGCTTGCCTTTTAAAAAAAAGGAAGATAAGATTAAAAAGAGTAACATAATTTTCTAGTTTGTCGAACAATCAGAAGAGATAATCATAAGAAATAAATTAAGAAAGCAAAAAATCAAGTTATGACTAACCTACCATCAGTATAGACCAAAGAACCTACAAAAGTACATATAGTCAGTACTCAGCACATAATTGGATGACAAACATGTTTTATATAATCGGCGTCACGGTTCTCAGAGTACAGAAAGTTAGTACTAATCAAGTAAGTTGAAGAAAAGTGTAGGAATCTGTTGAT